GCATTTAAACTGCAGTTACAGATGCATAAATAGGCCTAATGTTTTGTTTTTAACATAAAACGTTGAATACTGAAATAGAAATAATTTAAAACATGAAAAAAATAGTCGAAATGTGAAACTAAAACCGCCAGTAGGTGACAGCAAGTGACTGTTAATGAGTGAGTCATTGAGAGTCAACCGATTCATTCAAACGACTGATTCATTCAGAAACAAAGCATTTGACTGTGTTAATGAGTGAATCACTGAATCATTTTTATCAATCGATTCGTTCAAAAAGCTGATTCATTCAATAAGTAAACACCATCCATTGCTCAAAGCATACAGAAGCATTTTTGCCATCTACAATTTAGAATGCTGGGAATTTTGAGTTTTATAGACTAATAAATCTACACTAATAAAGTGGGATTTAGTGATATAGCCTACTTGATAATGTCAGATCGCACATCATTACAACAACACTTACCATATTATCGCAGAAGATACTGTATAGCCTATCGCACACCCCAGACTCGACTTGAAACACGGAGCGATAATTCCAATTGGAAAGCCTGGAAAGGATCACTCAAAAGCATCAAATTATAGACCAATTTTTTTAACATCAAATTTATGCAAAGTGATGGAGAGAATGATAATTAGCCGATTAAATTATGTAATAGAAAAGAAAGATCTAATATGTTCATATCAGAGTGGCTTTAGAAAAGGGCGTAATACAATGGATTCAATAATATGTCTAGAATCTGACATTAGAAAGGCAATAGTGAATAAGGAGGTGTTGGTAGGTGTGTTTTTTGATGTTAAAAAAGCCTATGATATGCTGTGGAAAGAGGGACTTTTAGTTAAATTAGACAAGATGGGAATAAAAGGAAAAATGTACAATTGGATTATGGATTTTTTGATTAATAGGACCATACAAGTAAGGGTCGGAACAAGTTATTCTAGGACTTACTCAACAGATAATGGGACCCCACAAGGAAGTGTGTTTAGCCCAGTTTTATTTAACAATGATAAATGACATATTTTTAATGATTGGACAAGGATTTGGTAAATCTTTATATGCGGATGATGGTGCCTTGTGGAAAAGGGGAAGAAATTTAGTATTTGTGGAAAGAAGTATGCAGAAAGCAGTTAATGAAGTGGAAAAATGGGTAAATAAGTGGAGTTTTAGACTGTCAGTAGAAAAAACTAAAGTGATATGTTTCTCAAAAAAGAAGAAATCACCAAATATTAAACTAAAGATTTATGGAAAAATGTTAGAGCAGGTAACAGAAATTAGGTTCCTTGGATTATGGATGGACTCAAAACTAACTTTTGCATCACATATTAATAAAGTAATAGATAAATGTAAAAAGGGAATAAATATTTTAAGATGTTTGGCAGGGGTAGATTGGGGTGCAACCCGACAGGCATTGAAAAGAGTATACTGTGCAATGATTAGACCTATGATTGATTATGGCAGCATAGTATATAGTTCGGCATCAGTATCTATGTTGAAGAAAGTAAGTGGTATCCAATCTCAAGCACTAAGAATAGGAAGTGGGGCATTTAGAACATCGCCAGTCTCAGCGATGCAGGTGGAAATGGCGGAGTTGCCTTTAGACCTCCGGAGACTCAAGTTAAAGATGGCATACTGGTGTTCTGTAAGGGGGCATGTAGAAACCCATCCAGTCAAAGATGTTTTAAAAAAATGTTGGGAACATGAGTATATAAAGTATATAAATTTTGGATGGAATGCCAACGCAGATGCTAAGAAGGTAGGAATTAATGACATAAAAATAAGTAAAATAAGTGCAATACCAATTATACCCCCTTGGCTGTTCCGCATGCCAATGGTAGATCTCCAGTTGCATTTTAAAATAAATGAAAAGGAAAGGTGTATGCCTAAAGAAATAGTAGTGGATCACTATTTGAAACAAAACTATTTTAATAGTATTCAAATATATACGGATGGGTCAAAAAATCCAGATTCTGGGTATACAGCAGCAGCCATATATATTCCCTATTTTAAATATAGCACAGTTAAAAGGTTATCTAACGATGTATCTGTATTCACAACAGAAATGATGGCAATTCTAATGGCTTTGCAGTGGGTGGAAGAAATCAATCCTATAAGTGTAGTAGTTTGTTCAGATTCATATTCAGTATTAAACAGTTTAAATAGTGGGAAATCAGCATCTAGACAGGATATACTTTATGAAATTTTACAGAATTTATATAGAATAAACCAAACAGGAGTAAGAGTAGAGTTTTTATGGATACCTGCCCATGTAGGTGTAGAAGGAAATGAGGAGGTGGATAAGCTGGCCAAGTCAGCATTGAGAAAAGAAGAGATTGACATAGAAATTCCTTTAAGTAAAACAGAAGTAAAAGGTATTATTAAAACAGCAGTTGGAAGTATGTGGCAAGACGTATGGAATAAAGAGTCAAAAGGGAGACACTTATTTAGTATTCAACAGAAAGTGGGGATTGAAAGAAAGGTATATGGAAACAGAAGAGAAGATACTGTTATAACCAGGATCCGTATAGGACACTCTAACCTTAATTATTCATTGCATATAATAGGAAAAAGTGAGTCAGATAGCTGCAGTTACTGTGGAATAACAGAAACAGTTGAACATGTGCTCTTACATTGTGAGGCATATAATAGACAAAGAAAGCAACTTGTTGAAAAACTAAGAGATATGGAAATCAATGACATTTCAGTTATGAATATATTTCAGAATGCACAGAAACATCTAAGGGTTTATGGTTTTCTTCTAAAATATCTGAGAGATACAGATTTGATTAGAAGAATTTAGTTTTTTTTAACTGTAATAAGGGCTGTAAAAAAGATGGACTAATGAAGCAGAGTGGGATTTACAAGCCTGCTTCGACTGCACTGATTGGAGTGTTTTTGAAGCTTCTGCCACCGACCTGGGGTGCAGGTTTGAAAAACCCTGTCTCACACCCCACACCCATTCTGACCCTCTCTCCATGGATCCCTTAACACCTCCAGCATCCCCCCCACCCTGCACTTCGGATCAGTGAAGTTGATGTGTGTCAAGTCTTCTGGAAACAGAAGACAAGAAAGCACCAGACCCAGATGGTTTTATACCAGCCTGTCTGAAATCCTGTGATGACCAGCTGGCCCCTATCTTCACACAAACTTTCAACAGATCACTGGAGCTGTGTGAAGTCCCTTCCTGCTTCAAACACTCCTCATCCCCATACCAAAGAAACCCAAAATCACAGGACTAAATGACTACAGACCTGTTGCTTTAACGTCTGTGGTCATGAAGTCATTTGAAAAACTGGTTATGGGCCACCTGAAGGACATCACTGGACTCTTGCTGTACCCCCTGCAGTTTGCTTACCGAGCAAACAGGTCTGTGGATGAAGCAGTCAACATGGGACTGCATTATATCCTACAATATCTGGACAAACCAGGGACTTATGTGAGGATCCTGTTTGTGGACTTCAGCTCGCCCTTCAACACTATCATCCGAAACATCCTCCAGTCCAAATTAACTCAGCTTTCTGTGCCAGCAGCTAGTGAGGCTGGAAATTCTCATCCAGCACCCACACCATTAGCACTGGCACCCCCCAGGGATGTGTTCTCTCCCCACTGCCCTTCTCCCTCTACACCAACGACTGCATTGCAAAGGACCCCTGTCAAGCTCCTGAAGTTTGCAGATGACACCACACTTATCGGCCTCATCCAGGACAGTGACGAGTCTGCTTACAGACAAGAGGTTGAGCAGCTGGTTGTCTGTTGCAGTCTTAACAACCTGGAGCTGAACACGCTCAAAACTGTGGAGATGATTGTGGAGTTTAGGAGAAACCCCCCTGCACTCCCCCACTCACCATCATGAACAGCACTGTGGCAGCAGTGGAGTCATTCAGGTTCCTGGGCACCACCATCTCTCAGGACCTGAAGTGGGACACTCACATTGACTCCATTGATCGGCCTCATCCAGGACAGTGACGAGTCTGCTTAAAGAAAGGAGGTTAAAGAGCTGGCTGTCTGGTGCAGTCTTAACCTGGACCTGAACACGCTCAAAACAGTGGATATGATTGTGGACTTCAGGAGAAACCTCCCTGCACTCCCCCCCACTCACCATCATGAACAGCACTGTAGCAACAGTGGAGTCATTCAGATTCCTGGGCACCACCATTTCTCAGTACCTGAAGTGGGAGTTCCACATAGATTCCATTATTAAAAAGGCCCAGCAGAGGCTGTACTTCCTTCGAAAGCTGAGGAAGTTCAACCTGCCACAGGAGCTGCTGATGCAGTTTTACTCTGCAGTCACTGAATCCGTTCTCTGCACATCTATAACTGTCGGGTTCAGCTCAGCTACCAAAACTGACCTCAGAAGACTACAGTGGATAGTCCGGACTGCTGAGCGAATCATTGGTACAACCCTCCCCACTCTCCAAGAACTGTACTCATCCAGAGTGAGTAAAAGAGCTGGAAAAATCATTCTGGACCCCTCACACCCAGCCCACTTCCACTTTGAACTGTTGCCGTCTGGTCGCACTACAGGGCAGAGTGGAGTATATTGCTATTTTTGTTACTTATTCTATTTTTATTACCTGTGTCTTGTCACTGTCATTCTGTTTGTGCTGTGGAAGCTTCTGTCACCATAACAAATTTCTTGTATATGTAAACATACCTGGCTATAAAGCTCTTTCTGATACTGATGTGAATAGGGGTAAACAAGTGTAAATAATGCTTGGACTCTAATTTTCTTTCTGTTTGCATTTTAATAAAATTTACGGTTTAACACTTCAATTTTACATTACATTATTATAATAATTTTGAGTTGTTTCCAAGAACAAGAGGCAGATTTTTTTCCCTCAGCTTTGTCTTTTTCTCTGCTTGTGTTCTACATGGTGGTTGTTTAGCCTGGATACATTCATTAGCTAACAAAATTTGAAATGTAAGTTATTTTGAATTAATGTATTAATATGACGTGAGGTCTAGTTAACAGAGTGACACTAAATGTCACGATGCACACACACGAGGAACGAGGAGACGCTGGAGAATACTTTACCAAGACTTTATTTACAGGAACTAAGGGAGACGAACTCAGGAAGATGTTTAACAGCGGACAGAGAACTTGGGACTGGGAACACTTGTTATACACACAGGAGGAGGGGATGACGAGACACACCTGGGAGCAATGAACTAATCAGGACAGGAACAGGAAACTAACCAAATAAGGGCATGGGAAGGCACATGGGGAGCAGAACACACACAAAACATGGAACAGAGTCTGACATAACGCCCCACTCCGGAAGGCGTGTCCTCACGCCATATAACATCCAATGAGGAGGGGGGGTGGGCACTCTGGAGGTCCCTCGGAACAAACACGGGACAGTGGGCCTCCAGAGCGGTACCCGTTCGGGGTGCCATGGCGGAGCAGGGGACTCGGGAGGCCATCAGGACAGGAACAGGAAACTAACCAAATAAGGGCATGGGAAGGCACATGGGGAGCAGGACACACACAAAACATGGAACAGAGTCTGACACTAAAACAGGTAGTAGTAATGGCAACTTTTTACTTAATTACATGTCAGAGCCCATACTTCTTTACTTTAACTTGAATAAAAAATTTTAGTCAGTACTTCAACTTTTATCAGAGTCTTTTTAAACATGAGTATCTGTACTTCTACTTGAGTGAAGGATGTGTGTACGTTTGCCATCTCTGGATGGATTGATTGATTGGGGAAGAAATTACCATTTTATTTAGCAAGGATGTGTTAAGTTGCACAAAAATATAAAAAATGACTTGTTTGTTTTCAATATTTATAATAAGAATGTTTCTTGAGCATGAAATCAGCATTTAAGAATGACTTCTGAAAGACACTGAAGACTGAGATATTGACTGCTGAAAATTCAACTTTGCCATCCCAGCAATAAATAAAATATATTAAAATAGCATATAAGTAATATACAGGAAGTATGAAGCCTGACATATTGCTTTTTTGCGCAGGAGGTGAGTTCCACATGTGGACAGTGTGATGTGGAGTGGATAAAGAAAGTTGGAGATGAACAGTAAGTGTCTGTTTTATTGATTTAAAACCTACAGCTGTGCAGAAGCATTTAAGTTACTGCTTTTGTAAATCCATTTCATTAAATTTTGCTGCTATATTATTTAATACAAATGCATGGCTAGTTTCCTTTGGACATGTGGGCCATGGAAATTTGCCAGTAGAGGGCAATATAGCTATTGGCAACCCTCCAGATCATAGTCTCACAGAAGTGGTCTAAAGTGTTCTCTTAAACTGAGGCTGAAGAGAATACAGGTGAACTGAAAGAAACCTGTGTTTAAGTGAAATGGGGATTCTTGGAAAGGTCGCAAGTAATGCCTACGTCTCTTTTTTGCACCTCACAGTTTCACACTTTACTCCCCCTCTCTGTTTGAACTGCTGGTTCTTGTAAAAGTCGTGATTTAACAGAAAACGGCCAAAACCTTACTTGCAGTTACTCAGACATTCTTATGCTGGTCGTTTTTGATGTTTTGTTTGTCTTGTTTCCTGATGGAGCAGTTTATTGGGGGAAAAAAATATTTTTTAATTTTCATAGCCACCGATTCTAAAAGAAAGACAAAAGACAATCTGTGGTTTGGATATTTTCCACAGTGTTCAGATTTATTATGATTGACATTGGCATCCCTATATATATATATATACACACATACATGGATGTTATATTCTTTTTCTTAACAAGCAATGCACAAATTATGTCTATTTTAATGGCAACCTTTTGGTATTAAACAGGTTAAATTATTAAACAAGTATGTTGACCTAGTCAGCATCAATGTGTGAAGTCATGATTTTAAATCATTGCTGATGCATTGACACTTCAAAGGTGTATCCAATGTGTATGTAAGTATATGTGTGGGTATTTTATTAGAAATACACACACACACATATATACACGCTTGAGTATGCATGCAAGAAGGGCCTTGAAATGTTAAAAATAACTATCATTCAGCATGTATTTGAGTTGTTTGGTTCAGACAACAAACCTTTAAGTGCATTATTTACCCAAACATACTGATTTGAAGGGTTAAGAAGTTTTGCAATTATTTGAATAATAATGCTTTCTGGGAAAAGGTACTTATTTGTTTCTGATTAGTATTTATCGTCTGCAGTGAAATTGTATTGATAAATGGCATTTCCATCAGCTATGTCGGTAAACATTTTGATGTGTTGAGTCTTTATATGCAGAAAAATCCTTGGACGGAAACCTGGCTAATGATGCATTGGCAGTTAAACTGACTTAGCTGTCTTTGTGTGTTAAAAGGCGTTGTCCCAACATAAACACAACCATAAACCCGAGAGTGTCACCTCACTGTAAATATAGCAATTCTCATTTAAACATTTTAAGTGTGTATGTGTGTTTATACACACACACACACACACACACACACACACACACAGTCACTCTGCATAGTATTTATCGTCTGCAGTGTGGGCTGTGCTGATTAAGTTATTTGGCTGCTTTAGATTGATGTTTTGCTGAAAAAATAGAAGGTAAATTCATATAGCCGACATTTGTTTGCATAAAGAAGACGAATATTATAGATACTAGTTTCAGAGTAAAGGTCAGACATCACTCAAGCAGCCCACATACCCATGCCTCCCACACTAGATCATCATCAATATTTAGATAAAAAGCAAACAAACACACATCCTCCCACACATTTTTTTTTCACATTTTCTTGTTTTTGTACTTAATAGTTCTGCAACTGCTCAAAAAAACATTTTTCATACAGCTGTGATTTATACTTCAATGTACACACACACACACACACACACACACACACACACACACACACAGAGATATGTAACGTGAGTGTATGCAGTATGTCTATACACACATAAATGACAGACAGACAGACAGATAGACAGACAGACAGAAACAGGACATGCAGGTGACACTACTCTTGTTTCATTTCATGTATGTTAATAGGGACGTTTTAGTGAACGGTCCAAAAGGTGATGCATTCATAGTCCGTTTCATAAGATTCATACTGTAGATTGTGCATGCAAGTGTGTGTGTGTGTGTGTGTGTGTGTGTGTGTGTGTGTGTGTGTGTGTA